CACCCGAACACCATCCCCCCTCCATCTCGCCATACTTCGCCCCAATGATTTCTTTCTAGAAACTCTCCCTCTTCACTCCAATCCGCCACAACTATTTGCCTAATAATGCTTTATTAAACAAAGTAAGCCTCCTCAATTCGAGACCCCCCCATCCTCACAGGAGAGCAGACAACTCCCAATTTAATCAAATGAAGTTTCATCTCCTCTCCCAGCCCTACCCAAATAAATTTCCTTTGAATCCTCTCTAATCTGTTATTAGCCACTGCAGCAGGAATAGGAAACAGTGACATAAAATAAGTAGGGATATTTGATAGAGTAGATTTAACGAGAGTAAGACGGTCACCCTTCGAGAGATACATATGCTTCCACCCCGCGAACCTTCTTTTCACCTTCTTCACAATAGCATTCCAAATATTAATACTTTAAAACCGCGGCCCTAAAGGGAGTCCAAGATATGACATAGGTAACTGCGCAACTCTACAACCCAATATAATAGCTAGTTCCACCACATTAGTGTGCTCCGTTAATGGAATAACCTCAAATTTCGCCAGATTAACCTTCAATCCTGACACCGCTTCAAAGCATAAGAGCAACCTGTGCAAATTCCTGACTTGCTCCTCAACTACGTCACAAAAAATTAGTATGTCATTTGCAAATAACAAGTGGGATACCTGTAGTTGACCAACCGTAAATCCCGTAAGCAGATTCTCTTGTCTTGCTTTCTCGAGCATCTTACCATGATTTGGTCAAAGGAGTTTACACAAATCATGGTAAATATGTACAGAAATGAGAGAGTGAATTGTCCCCAATATACCCCTTGTCTTCTTTTTTGGGTTTCTTTATTTGTCAATCCTTCATGTACCTCTCATACACATGCTTTCTCTCTCTCTCTGTTTTTGTTTTTTTTTGGGAAGAGTGGTTGTCCAGAACTTCATTTGTGAAGCACGGGATCTTAATCACGTGCTCTCTTCTCCAATTGATAATTCATTCCATACTTTATTTAAAGACAAAAAAAAATTAGACATGATGAAATTCCCAGAAAATAGAATGATAAAATTTGATATCCCATGCGCATGCTACATGTTTGGAAGGGGGCTGGAGGAAGAGCCTGGTAGGGTTTTCTACTTTTTGTTAGTTTTTCTTGCATTTATTTTTCCTCGACATTTGAAATTTAGAGTAAATTTGTCTTTTCAACAGATTTAACTCCTGTCCAAAAAAAAAGCCGAAAGGGGCCTGTTTGCCTTAAAATATAAGTTTGAGGGACCTATTCTCCAAGAAATTAGAATGGGACCCGAGAGCCAATTGACCAAAGAATGCGGCTAATGGCTGCAATTATAGTATAAGAACTAGGGCTGTTGTGATGAAATACTTCAAGATTGATAATTTCATATATTTTTGCCTAAATTATAACTTCTACATGTATCAGCAATTGCACAAATGAGGATTAACTTCCACGTAGTTACAGACTGCAGAAGCCAACAAAAAAGAACGAGAGATATTTGGATTTCAAAGTTGTATCGGATATGTAGATTCGTAAAAAGTAAATTTTATGATTGTTACATGGTATCTACACATTGTAAATGAAATTAGAGAGACGGCGTTCTTTGTTACTACGTCTTAAAGGAGCTGTTCAACTGCAAAATTTCCATTCATGTGAGGAGCTTATGAACCTTGGTTTAATCTTCATTATACACAAAGCTTAAATTTCAGCAATGACTTCCGTGTTCTGGAAATACAACTGTTCAGTATTTTTCTGCGTATTACATGCTCTCGACGTTACTTTCTCTACTACTTTGTACTCTAGATGTCTGTCCTAATTTTTTATTTCTTTTCTTTTCCATTTTCCTGGGCATGTTGCATGATAGAAACCCAGAAGGAGAGTAATACCTATCTCATCTGGAAGGTCTGCTGCACCTGAGAAATCACAGCGTTCGAGAAGTGTGTCTTTTAGCCCTGACAGAGTTCGTGTGAGGGGAAGATCTCCTGCGTTCAATGCTCTGGCTGCGACTTTTGAGAACCCAAATGCGAGAAACCTTTCGACCCCTCCTCCAATGGTAAGAAAACTTTACCCAAAATCTGTGACCCCGGATTCAGCGAAATTGGCCGCTTCCAGAGCAGCATCTATATCAGCACTAAGTGCTACTTTTGAACGACCTGCACCAGCTCGAGAAACCCTTATACCACGTTCTCTTAAAGGTAATATTACTTGAATTTTTTTGAATCGCTGAACTAGTTATCATCAAAACTGTGTAATTATTGAACCACTTCATCTAAAAGCTTCAATTGCCACAGACACAATTATTTATTAAAATTCAGTATTCAACACCCCCATCATCCCATGTATAGACTAGATCTGTATTTACATGAGACTCAAAACATGCACAATTTTCATAAATGGGTAGTGGTGAAAAATGAGAAACCATGATCTCATCTAAAGCTTAAGTTGTTCGAGAGGAAACTCATTTACTTATTTTAATTTGTATTCAACAAAACTGAATATTTTTAATCATGCTGAAGTGAGCCCTGAGGTACCCAAATCCAAACCAGAGACGATCTCTAGGGAGAACTCCGCTAGCAAACCTAAACCTGCGACTATAAAGGAAGACGTAAAAGAGGGCGAAGTTGAAGATGAGGAAGGACTCACAATATACCCATATGATCGCCTTAAAATAACGTCGACAGATCCAGTAAAAGAAATTGATGTCACCAAACGAGAGGTATTTTTACAAATAACAGTGATTACAGGGTCATATTCATTATTTTCGGTGACACTTTACAATCTTTTTCTGCAGACTTATTTGTCTTCAGAAGAGTTCAAGGAGAAATTTGGGATGTTTAAGAGTGCTTTCTACAAGCTGCCAAAATGGAAGCAGAATAAGCTTAAAATGGCACTTCAATTGTTCTGAGTCTTCTATAAGTATCGGGTTCTATCTCAGGTTGCTCGAGTCTAGATTACAACAAAGAGAAAGCACGCTTGCAATGGATTTTCTCACTGTATTTGCTGAATGCAACTGCTTCATTCAAAAATCGATTTGTATATGCTTTTTTCAAACAGTGATGGGACCAATTTCTCCTAGTAAGGGACAGCGTCAGTGCATTTTTAGCTGCTTCTGCTCCCAAGAGGCTCATTTCCATAAATCGCGACGTTTGGATACCTCGGCTTTTAGTTTTTCCTTTATTTTTTTTTGAAGAGTTAGTTGCATGATATTCTTTTTGTAACGGGTTTTTGAGAGCTTGCATTTTTTTGTTTTCGTTTGTTGTGCTTTTGTTTTCAACATTGATTTAGCAGAGGTTTGGAAGTGCAGATAATTTAGGTTCTTCAGTGCCTTTAGATGCTTATAGCCTATGAACAGGCTGTCTACAAGCAATGTAAAACTCAAAAAGTAGTTCGCGAGTTTATTATTTGAAGAGATATTGATGTAGTCTGCCCTACGACTAAAATAAGGTAGCCGAATCTTTTAATTATTTTCTTGCACTTTAACTCATTACGGGCGTTTAGTATTTAATTATGTATTAATGCTTTTAATTTTCGTCATTTTCTAGATTTTAGTATTATTTAGATGTTAGTCATTGCTTTAAATGAGGGTTGCAAGTCTTAATGACACCTGATTATTTTTGAATTGAAATAAAATTGACCGGAGTTTTTTAATCTTTTAAATTCTCGATATTTGATATTTAAAGTCAGCGAATCCAGATTCTCTATATACATGCCTAGATATTTTTATATTCTTAGGAGTAAATAAAATAAAATAAAATAAAATATAAATTGGTCGTGTTACAATATTCTTTTGAAATTAACGAAACTTCGATAGCGGGTCTGATGTAGGGAAATGAAAGCAATGTTCAATATTGTGGCACATATTTCTTCCTTGTACGTGTTGGGGTGAAGAAATGAAAAATTGTAGCACTTTGTACTTCCAAATAGCTATGTTGAAATTCTTTATAAAAATTGTGTTGACCATAAATAAGGGTTTTCAACCCCTAATTGCCCATGCAACAATTTTATATTTTCTCTAAATCTCCCTAGGATGCTTATCCTTTCTCTCTCTCTTCCATGTTATTTTTTATTACTTGACCATTTGCAATTACCTATTAATATGAATGTGATTCCGACAAAATAATTATTTGTTTAAAACTGGTAGGTTTTGAGTCGTCAAAATTTTAACAGTAAGACAGTCGAACTGAAATAATAGATGTGAACTCTTCCTCTTAAAGACTTCACTAAGTTCATTGTAACTCTGTGTATTGATGTATTTCATCAAAAGCTTTGAATCTTAATCCGGTCTATTTTGTTCTCACAAATACTTCAACTGTCAAAGATGTAGCTTGACAATAACCGTCCTTAACAATCGTTGTTGTGTGGTATCCAAACTACCTAGTCCTGAGTAGGATTGGGGTAAATTTTATCTTTGTAACTAATGACTATCCTATTAGAAAGCCCAACTGGACGTTCGCTGTCATTACAAGTTGAATGTTCAATTGTTCACATAACAATAATAGTATCTTGTCCTAAACCAGTGGCTCATTTGTTCTAAACAATGGGGGAGAGAACTCAAAATTAGCACGGACAAAAGTGAACCGTTGAGAGTAAGTATGAATTTCCTGTTCCCGTTCCTTGCCAGACCAGTTTTCAATTATTTAAACCCCAATCTCTCTCTCTCTCTCTCTCTCTCTCTCTCTCGTGTGAGTTTGTGCTGCGTGTATGTGTCTGTCTTGTGGGGGACAATATACATACAAAATATATTTTTCTTGTGTGAAAATTCCATTTCTGTAGCTGTATCATGTTGAATAAAGACGAAGCCATTTTTTACCTTTTTCCTCTCACTTCCATGTGATCAGGAACTGCTCCTCCTTTACTTCCCTTTGTTATAGTCTCTCTTGAAACTTGGTCCCTCATCAATCTCATCAACTACAAACTCTAAAGTCATCCCCTCCCCCCTCTCTCTATATATCTATATCTATCTGATTCTCTCCCTGTATCTGCATTTTAGCGATTCACCATGATAACTGGAAAGGATATCTATAATGTTCTTGCTGCAATAGTACCCTTATACGTGGCTATGATCTTAGCTTACGGCTCAGTTAAATGGTGGAAAATTTTTACACCTGATCAATGCTCAGGAATCAATCGATTTGTGGCAGTTTTTGCTGTTCCATTACTCGGATTTCATTTCATCTCGACAAATGATATTTATGCAATGAATTATCACTTCATTGCTGCTGATTCACTGCAAAAAGTTGTGATTCTTGCAGCCCTTTTTCTGTGGCATAGTTTCAGCAAAAATGGGAGCTTAGAGTGGCTGATCACTCTATTTTCTCTCTCTACTCTTCCAAATACTCTTGTAATGGGAATCCCCCTGTTGAGGGCTATGTATGGAGATTTTTCGGGCAATTTAATGGTTCAAATTGTTGTTATGCAGAGTGTGGTTTGGTATACTTTTATGTTGTTCATGTTTGAGTATAGAGGAGCAAAACTGCTGATTACTGATCAGTTCCCAGAGACTGCTGGATCCATCACCTCTTTTCGTGTTGAATCTGATGTAATGTCGCTTAACGGCCGCGAGCCGCTGCAGACGGAGGCGGAGATAGGCGACGACGGCAAGCTGCATGTGGTGGTGAAGCGTTCGACCACAGCTTCAATGATATCTTCATACAACAAAGGGTTGCATTCAACAGGAATGACTCCAAGAGCATCAAATCTAACTGGTGTGGAGATTTATTCGGTTCAATCTTCGCGCGAGCCTACTCCGAGAGCCTCGAGTTTTAATCAAACAGATTTCTATGCCATGTTTAATAGCAAAGCTGCAAGTCCTAGACATGGATACACGAACAGTATTGGAGGTGGGACTGGATCAGGAGGTGGGACTGGATCAGGAGGCGGGACTGGATCAGGTGATGTGTTTTCTTTGCAATCCTCGAAAGGCGTTACGCCAAGAACGTCGAATTTCGAAGAGGAGATGTTGAAGCTTGGGAAGAAGAGAACAGGAGGAAGAAGTATGAGTGGAGAGTTATTTAATGGGGGCTTAGCTTCTTCTTATCCTCCTCCAAATCCTATGTTTTCTGGCCCTAAGAAAAAGGAAAATAACAATGTGAACAGTACTACAAATCCCAACAAAGAACTTCATATGTTTGTTTGGAGTTCAAGTGCATCTCCTGTTTCTGAGGCTAATATGAGACATGCTGTCAATAAGGCTGCAGCCTCGACTGATTTTGCTGCCATTGATGCTTCTAAAGCTGTTTTCCAACAAGACCTAGCTGCACTTAGAGGTATATTTTAACGTACTATCCATCTAAAAGCTTATACTGTCAAGTTTAGTTAATTAAATTTAGTTTCCAACACGTTCTTTGTGTGTAGTCCGGATTATAATCTGTTAGCATGTTGAATCATCTCGTCTAAATGCTTACTGATATACATGGTAATATTATGACTTGATAGAAAATGGAAAAATGAATGGAGAAACAGAGATTGAGATCCATGATTCATCGAAGATCCCGATCCCGACAACTGGCTCTCCATTTTCATGCCAGAAGAAAATAGATATTGGGGAAGAAGCAGTGGATAAAAAGCAGCAAATGCCTCCTGCAAGTGTAATGACTAGGCTTATACTCATAATGGTTTGGAGGAAGCTCATTAGAAATCCCAACACTTATTCAAGTCTTTTAGGGCTAATATGGTCTCTTGTATCCTTCAGGTATCCTTTCTCTCATCCCATATTTACAAGAAAAATGATTTATTGCTATAAATTCTGTCACGCCTAAAGGCACTACGCAGAATTAGGGTTTTTACGATGGCTAAAAACGTCGTAGAAGACTTTTAATGAAATTAGTTTATGTCTTGTTCATGGAATTTTGGTCACATGAAGAACAGCTAAATATATGACTAATTAAATAAAGAAACTTCATATTGCACATTATTTCTGTCAAAAATTTCAGTGACTTCTATGGAAACATTATTCCTTGATCATTAATTATACCAAAAAATTCCTTAAAATCCAAAATGTTTTCCTGAAATTTCACTTCCCCTTTTCATAGTAAAAATGTTGATTCCCATATAAAAAAGAATTCAAATTTGTTTTAATGGGCAGGTGGAATATTCAAATGCCTTCTATTGTGAAAGGTTCAATATCAATCCTATCAGATGCAGGTCTTGGCATGGCTATGTTCAGTCTAGGTATTATTCTTCACCCAATAGTAGGATATCACAATTTATTCAAACACTTTTACACACAAGGAGGCGGGGCGGGCGGAATTCTTATCCTTCTTCCCCTATTGATAGGAATTCACGCTCTATACGAGCCATTATATGGTTTCACTAGCAATATAATCACGAATAAATAGGACAACTACGAAATTTATAGTCATGAGAGATAAATGAACAATGTGACTAAACTCTACACTGTTCAAAGGGGTCGATTTTGGAGGTGGACCGTGGGGTTTGGTATTGCATAAGGATGTAAATTATTTTGTTGCTTGAAAACTGCAGGTTTATTCATGGCTTTGCAACCAAAAATCATATCCTGTGGAAAATCTGTTGCTACATTTTCAATGGCTGTTAGGTTCTTAACGGGGCCAGCAGTAATTGCTGCAACCTCCATTGCTATTGGTCTTCGAGGAGTGCTTTTGCATGTAGCCATTGTTCAGGTGATTAAATTTCATATCATTTTCTTGAATTTAAATAAACAATCAATTAAACTTTGTTGGTTGCTGATAGATTTCGAGTCGGCTGCACAAATATTTTTCCATGTCTCTATTATTTTCGTTTCACTGCTAGATCTACTTGAATATTCAAAGCAGCTTACTCAAATTGCCTTTTTTTTTAACACTATCTAAATTAGATACAGTTTTTAATCATATTTTTCTATCCTTTACTTCTTGAATACAGGCCGCTCTTCCCCAGGGAATTGTTCCCTTTGTGTTTGCAAAAGAATACAATGTACATCCAGACATATTAAGCACAGCGTAAGCTTCTTCGCCTACTAACTCAAAAATCAATTTTCTCCATGCAAAAAAGTTTATATTAATCCAAAACTCGTTTCATTTTTGTTTTTAACAGGGTTATTTTTGGAATGCTGATTGCCTTGCCCATAACAATTTTATATTATGTTCTTCTTGGGGTGTAAGTTTTGGCAGAGCAGGATCCATATAAAGAACATGGGGTTTGAGAAATCCAAGAAGAAATAGTAAATTGAAGATGCAGGCATTGGAGTCAGTGGACAACTGGGAAATCATATACTGTAGCCTGCATGTGCATGTTCTCTTGCTTCTAATTATATATACTACTGATTTCAATCTTTTATGTCTTTTAGTCTTTAATTTATGTGTTTTTATTTGGGCAGAAACCAGTAGAAATGGAGAAAATATTCATGAAAAATTATAGGACTTTCTGCATGTTTGCTGAGACAGATTAGATATAACTCGACCGGCATTAACAAAAATGAAAATGAAGTTAATCTTATTTATTATACCGTCCAATCCTTTTTAGTACTATTTTTCATATTATTTGATTACATTAGAGTCAGCATATTTGTATTCAAAATATCGAGGCAACTTGAAAATCATTATATATCTGCTCAAGTAAAATCGGCTAATTTCAAGATTGACTTTCACCAACTAGCCCCTATTTGTATTACAAGAAAGCACATAAGCGAGCAACAAGTAGAGCTTGAGAAATGATTAATGCAAAAATCCTTCGAGTCGACGTAAAGGGGTAAATTCATCGAAATCCTTAAAAATATAACTAGCATGAACAAAAATAATGAGTTGTCTAAAATTAAGAAAATAATTTGTGGATGTCAATGAAAAATACTTAATATTTTGTTTTAGGTAGACAAAAAAAATAAAAATAAAAATTAATAACTGACAATACATGTAAAAAGATTCTCATTGAATCGTTTCTATCCTTTACATTGTTTTTCTATTAGTGACAAGATCTTATAACATGGAAAGTCAAACAAGAAGGATATAATTAAATATAAGTTAAAATGATTTAATTAATACTATTGAAATAATTAAAAATTGTTTTGATTCATAATGTTGAATTAATCTCCAGCATGCATGTGAATACTTGATTTAATTTTCCAACTAGGAATCTATTGTGTTTTGGGAAAAGATAAGACTAACTTCAATAAATGCCAACTTGTGTCATAACATTACACTTAATTAAAGAGTAATACTATTCATCCCAACTGGAGATGAAAATACAATTTAGGTGGCGTTAATGTGACATTAAATGATAGGTGAAATTAAATAAATCATTTAAATAAGTCATTTAACTTCAATGTATCATTTAAAGCCACTTAAACTGTCCCCACTGGAAATGAATAACATTACACATTTACACTAATTAAATGGTGATACCATGTGACACATTGTTTAGGAAAAGGGCAATAGAACTCCTTTTGAATTAAATTTCTATTAATTGAACTTCATGGGTTAGATGAAACGCGTTGTAAAGTTATACAAAGTGAGAACTTACCGTATATGATTTTTTTAAATGAAAAACTTATAAATATTAACCACCTTAATCCACTCTAATCTATCTATCTACTACCATTTCCCCTAATTTTATGCATAATTTTTTATACAGTCTAAGCTAGTGTACCCGACATAATCTTAGATGATGCGATAGGGCGTGGCGGAACGAGGTCAGGTATTGATATACCGTTCTCGCCCGTCGGAAATTTTGGAGATGCGGGATGGAGATTGATTACAAATTTACAAGTCCGATAGACTTAATATTTATTTTTTGGTTCTATTCACAACAAACTATCTTAATTTTTATCTACATGGCCGTCCTCTTGTCGCCTGATTTTTTGATATCGAAAATATTTAGATCGATATGGTGAAAACATATCATATCTTGGCCTTTACTTACAGAAAATGAAATAAGAAGGAGAAAAATAATTGCTAAGGGGGTGTTCTCTGTGGCCATTTTGGGTCGTTTTTTGTTTTCTGTTTTTCAAAATAGTGAAAACGCGTTCTCTTTCCTATTTTCGAAAACGTATTTTTGAAAACGAAAAAAAATTTGTACACAAAACGACCGTTTAGTCATTTTCAGTGTTTTCAAGCCAAAAACTCGAAAATGTGGAAAACGCGGAAAACACCAGTGAAAACTGAAAATTAGAAAAATCAGTCCAAAGAACCTCGCCTCACTCCATCTCCTCCCATCATTCTACCACCAATTGGAAGAATCAATAGAAACAACCTTGTCTCACCGTCGGATTCCACCACCAACAACCTCGCATCACTCCCCTCTATCACCTCCAACCCTGCAATGTTCAAATTTCATCCTAAAAGAATGACAGTCACGAAGTCTGCGCAATAAGGTCCGAGTTTTGCAAATTCCGGCG